GACAGAACTAGAGGTAATGGCCACAAACTGAAGCACCAAAAGTTCCACAGGAACTTAAGGAAAAATTTCTTGACAGTGAGGGTGACAGAGCACTGGAACAGGCTGCCCAGAGAGGTTGTGGAGTCTCCTTCTCTGGAGATCTTCAAAACCCGCTTGGACGCAGTCCTGTGCTACGTGCTCTAGGTGACCCTGCGTATGCAGGGGGGTTGGACTAGATGATCTCTAGAGGTCCCTTCCAATCCTAAGCATTCTATGATTCTATGATTAAGCAGAAGATTCAAAGGATTTGATGCTTCTGGAAAGTAGTATCTCCTTTGGGAATTTGTCATGATGTATGGCACTCCATGGGGTATTTTTATGCTTCCAGAGTCAAACTCAAGAAATGTGAGGCATTAAGGAGCTTCAACTATAGATGTAGCACTGTCAGTTTATTTAGGGGTTCTGCTGGTTGCTTACATGCCTTGAATTTAGGTTTGTGGAGTTAAAGGCAACAGAACCTTCTAATGGGCTTTTGCATTGGTCAGTTTGGGGTATGCTAGTTGACTAAAAGTGCCCAACTGATAAATATGCTCATTGTAAACCTTAGCTCTCTTCTGCTGCTTGTCCTACAGCAGATCACTTGCTTCCTGGTGGCAAATGGTTGTAGTGCAAGTGCTTTTTATGCAAGTGGCTAGTGGTGCAAGCACCAAGAGTACTCGTGCTTTCCAGCAAACTGGTGTAAGGTCAGGGAAAAAAGGACCATTTTTGTGGCATTAAACCATGTGTGGTGATAAGGCTGTAAATGCTACATATCTGCTCCTTCTAAGCATGTTAAAGGCTCTGCTGTGTGTTATGTACCTATTACAGAATTCTAGAATTATTAAGGTTGGAAGGGACCTCTAGAGGTCATCTACTCCCACCCCCCTGCACACGCAGGGTCACCTAGAGCACGTGGCACAGGACTGCATCCAAGCGGGTTTGGAAGATCTCCAGAGAAGGAGCCTCCACAACCTCTCTGGGCAGCCTGTTCCAGTGCTCTGGCACCCTCACTGTTAAGAATTTTTTCCTTAAGTTCCTGTGGAACTTTAGGTGCTTCAGTTTGTGGCCATTTCCTCTAGTTCTGTCTATTAGTAGCCTTTTGTGTATCCTATGAAAGGATTGTCTTAGTGACTCTATCAGAAATACAATTTAGTCTGCCAAAGGATGGCTATATGGGCATTTGATACATAATACATGTCCAGATGCTAAAATTCTGTGGAAGCCAATAGGCTGGTTGAAAATCCATATTTTTATCCATGCGAAATAAATATTAAATGTCCTAGACATCATATAATGGAAAGTCCGATGTGGATGTTGAGACAGGCTTTTTGTAGATGTCTAGGCCCTGGAGTTCCTAGCAGGTAACAAGGAAATGCAGTTAGGCTGTTTGTATCAAGGAGGATTTTTTTCTCATTCAAAAGAGCTAGTTCTATAGTTCAATTTCAAATATACCATAACTTTTGAGGATTTTCATTTTTTCCTATAAGATGATCCCTCTTTCCAGCCCCACCTCCCCCAAGGAAATCCTATAGGTGCTTGCCTTATGCCTCCAGTTTCCATCAAAATTGTATCAAATGGGGAGACAAAGAAGGGTTTCTTACCCTAGCAATGACCTTATTTTTCAGTGCATCCTCAAGTGCTCAGCCGCCTGAGTCATTTCAGACTAGACAGCTACATTCCCTTAGGGAAAGTGTTTCACAGTCTCCTTCTAGTAAAATGTTTTTGAGGAGTGTTCAGATTTAGAGGCCACTTGTGTGTTCTGGTTCTCTTAAAACCTGAGGTAGGCTGGATACTGCAAATGATGCACTGAAGTTCAACCCACTTTTGGATAGGTTGGAGGCAGCTTGTGTTAATTACAAGTTTGATTCTGGAATATTTTATCCTTCTCTACTGTGTATAAGCTTGGATTTAATATGTATTTTTTCATTGGTACCAGCTATCTTGAAGGAAGGAATGGTATAGCAGTGTCCTCCAAGTGTGTCTTCTGGTAGACCACTGATACAGCAAAGCAAAGCTGTTACGCCTGCTAGATTCATCAAGCTGCTTTTTGTAGAGATTCTCTCAGGCATGACACCAAAGGAACCTTTTGGGTGAATGTTGATACCCTCTTAGGGAGAGATGACAGACTGAAGTAGTACCTGGATATGTGAAGATGTAAAAGGAAGTTGGCAGAATTACAAAAAACAATGTAGGTGATAATTAAATGAATTAGGTCTTAGGAGCTTTTAGACAGCCTAGTTGTATCATCATGTACATAAATACATTTAATTCAAACGTGTTTAACCCCTGGTTCATGATTGTGTTGATGGGAAAATATTAGATGTATTTTTAATAAACATAACTATTCTAAGATTAAGATGTTTTAATAAAAACTGCCATGGCAGATCTAATGAAAACAATGATTAATTTACTTGGGTGAAATTTACAGTGCCTGCTGTCCAGCAGCCCTCTAGGAATCATACCTGTAGAATTACACTTGTGTTCATTTCTTTCAAAAGGGGAGAGTTATGTCTGCTCATCTGACAACTTCTTCAAGAAGGTGGAGTACACCAAGAACGTGAACCCAAACTGGTCTGTCAACGTGAAGACATCTGCCAACCAGAAAGCGCCTCAGTCTCTGGCCAGCAGCAACAGCGCCCAGGCGAAGGAGAACAAAGATTTTGTGCGTCCCAAGCTGGTCACCATCATCCGTAGCGGCGTGAAGCCCCGAAAGGCCGTCCGCGTGCTCTTGAACAAGAAGACTGCCCATTCGTTTGAGCAAGTTCTCACCGACATTACTGAAGCTATAAAGCTGGAGACGGGAGTTGTCAAGAAGCTCTATACTCTCGATGGGAAACAGGTAGGAGATTTTATGGATGTGGTCTTTTTTCTTACTTTCTCTTATTTTGAAGTTTTGCTGACTCAGAACAATTTTTGACATCTAAAATAAACTTGAGATGATCACTGCCATCTGTTCTTTTAGAAGTCAGACTTCTCAAGCCAGTGGTTAAGTTACTAATTTTTCACTGATATTAATATCAAGCAAAGAATGCAGCCAACTGTCTGAGATGGATGCTGTCCTGCACGCCAGTGTGCAGTGCATGTCTTCCAGGCTGCCTAAATAAATAACGTGAGGAGTTTGGCTCACAGCCACCAGTTAATTTGGCTCTCCAGTAGTTGCTGGAGCTCTCGAGCTATGGATTCACTAAGTGAAAATGTGTTGCTTGACTCTTCCTCCCCTTAAATGAGGGCTAGTTAGAATAATGATCTGTGCATGCTCTTCTGGCTAGCTCAGTACCTGTCAGGAAAAATACAGGACTGGTGCATTTTTCTTGACGAAATGTGTGAAGAACTAACATGCAAAAAGGGATTTGGGTCACAAATACTTAGCAGGTTTATTATATTGTGCTTTGTGTCTACGTGTTCCTGCAACTGAAGGAAACATCTGTCTCCTGTTAGTAGCAGCAGAGCAATAAGCCATTGCTGTATCTATGAAAAGTCTTAGAGGAATGTACAAGATATATTTTGAGGATCAGGAAGAGCTAGAGTTCCTCAAGGAAAACTCTAAGCTTAATTTAGTAGGTTTCAGTGTCTACTGTAACAGAGGGAGGATCTTATTTTGCTGTTTTTCTTCTCTCATTCTGGAGAGAGGCAGCCCGGCTCTTGTGTGGGCTGGGCACTGGCTACTCTAGGGATTGCTGGCATTGCTTTGAAGTGACTTCCTCTTCTGTCTCCTAAGTGAATCATTCAAATGCTGCCTCTTGAAACACCCTGCCAAAACCAGGCACTGTGTTTAACCAGCAGGCAGACTTCGCTGGGGAAGGTGTTTGTCCTTCCCAGTACCAGGTACTAGCTCATAAAGGGTACTGGTCCAGGTGCAGTGTCTGGGAGCTGAATATAGCACATCACTATCCACTAGTCATGCTTTTTCTCAGCATTAATAACCCATGCATTAGCAGCCTCCTGTAGTTTCAGAAATACAAATGTCTCTTGTGCCTGTCAGAGCTTCTATTTCCATTTGTCTTGACCCAGCACTTATACTTCATAACCCACATAATTTATACATGGATGGGTGACTTTCCCACTGGCCTGTCCATAAATGTGGTTGTGTGTTGTAAATAAGCAGTGACAGTGATGCAGTGAGAGCATTGGAAATGGTAGAGGAAGAAACAGAAGAGATTAAGGGCCAGGAAAGGCAGTGTCAATAGATCCTGCAGCAGCCTGGCAACAAACTGTACAGCACAATGCATGTAGGTCAGAGCCCCTTCAGAAAGGCCTTCATACATGGGTCTGACCTGCAAGCAGTTGCCAGGTGATGCTGACATGCAGAGTCCTGTTGCATCTGCAGTTCTGGATCAAGATTAACTGAGCCCTTAAAACGTCTCAACTCTTTGAGAAGAGCCAGTATTTTGGAGGTGGAAGGGAGCTGCTGCCTTGGGCAGTGTGCAGAAATGGTGATGCCCTGTGAGCTTTTGCAGAACTGTCGTCTCTTACCCACCTTCAAACACGTTATCTGAGCTAATAGTGTTTCCCCTCTACCTCTGGCTGTGAGCAAGACCAGCTCAGTCCATGGACTGAGCTGAGCCTGTGGGCTTGTGGCTGGACCAGCTTGTTGAGTCGTGTTGATTCTTTGGCAGAGATTTGGGAGATGGTGCTCACTCTCAAACTACAGCTTCTCAAGAGCAGTCGTGCTGAGAGGTAGTGTGTGTTTTGATGTAAACAGCAACCTTGAATTCCTTGCATCAGGCTCTGATGTCCTTGTAGTGACTGGTGCTTTAATCCAGCACTGCTTTCACTGTGGCTGTCATGGCTTCACTCTTTTTGCTGCAGAAATCTGATTTCACTGAAAGTCTGAATAATTTTTTTTTTCATTTAGCTTGCTTTGAGTTTATAATTCACCATTTCCTGAAATGTGGTATTTCCTAGGGCATTGGAGATGGAAATCTTTCCCACCTTGTTTCACTGTATGCAAACGTACATGCTTGAAGAGAGATTACTCGTGATTTGACATTAATTGAATGTTCAGTATTTATTTGTGGCATCATTTAGTGTTTAAGTGTGCTGAGGAGCAAAATCTGGCCCACTGAGGCTGTGGCTGATTGGAAGATTTCCCTCAGTGTTTCTGTTTTAAACTAAGTTGATTAGAAGTCTCTAGCCTGTGGGTGTACTGTTTGCTTTCAGATTTTCCATTGCATCCCACTCCATAGTGTCTGAACTTGGGACATAATATTCGAAAGAGGTTTTGCATGTCTGATTCTACTATTAGAAAGAGGTTCTTAAAGTAGCTTGCCAGAATTAAGTATTATTTCCAGCAGAAAATATTCATGTAAATACACAAGCTGCTCACATATGAGACGGTGACAAACACCCTGACAGTCTGTCTCTTGAGTGTCATCAGAGCCACGTTACTCCCTCTGTGAAATGCTAAGATTTACATAGGGAACGTACAAAGGAAAATCATCCTGCCCTGGTCTGTGAGCTGTAACATAGTGAAAGGAGATGATTATTTTATTTATAGGCATTTCCATGGTGCTCATCAGCAGAGTGATCAAGACGCTTTACAAGTCCCGGCAGCAGTGGCAATGATAGGGTTGTATAAATAATTACATTGCTGTGCACTGCAGACCTGCTGCATTTGAAATGCAAAAGCAGCTAATTGAGTGCCAGAATGGGCATGTTTGATGGATTTAGTGTTTAAAACAACAGTGGGATTAGGTCATCTTTCTAGGAAGTCTTGCTGCTGGGTTTCTTGTGTTGTCTGTAGAAATACTATGCTTTTGAAACTCTTCAATAAGCATCTTTTAAGTAGTTCATGCAGCGTGATTTGCATGTATTTCTAATGCCTTGTGCCTTATCTGTCTGTATTCAAGCTGCATTTTTCCTGGGAGCAAATCACTATGTCTTGACATCCAAGAAATCAAAAGGGGCTTCAGAGAGTTGGCCAAGTTATATAAGAGAATTGCAACAGCAGAGCTTTACCTTTAATCCTCATGGCCATATAGGAAATGGCAAAGGGCAAGGCTCAGTGCATTAAACAAATGCTTGATATAGTGTAAAAGAAGTCAGCCCTTGATTTCATGACTGCAATGCCTTTTGTGTTGATATATGTAGGAATAAAATTGGTCTGGTCTGTGGATCATGCTTGAAATCGGTTGCAATGGCAAATTCTTTCTCTTTTTAAAATATGCCTTGCAAATGTTGCATGGCTCTCCTGCCTGTGCTTTCTCACTGTCGTGCAGTAGTTAGGTGCTCCTCTGGAGGAGATGTGGCTGTTTTGTCCCTGTCAGCTAGGTGAGCAAAGGGCCTGTCTCTGCTTTCTGGTGCCTTGCTTTGCAGGGTGCGTCTGTCTGCATTTGTTCCTGCTTTAGGTGAACTCATCTCATGTCTTCTGCATATGCTAAACTTTTTTCCTGCTCTATCTGGTATTCCAAAGCCTGGGAGCAGCTAAGCATCTGTGTGAGGACATGCAGTGACAAAAATCAGTCATTTTTTTGTGACTGGCTGATACCTCAAAAGGGTGAGAAATGCACCAGGCGCATTCAGTTTTACTCTTGCACTAAGGTACTTTGCTATGCTATGAAGTTCCATCTGCTTTTCCTCCTAGGCTAATGTATTGCCATGTCTTTCATTAACTAAATACCCTGTTCTGCTAACCCCTCTGCTAGCACGACTGAGCAAGCAGGATTTGATGCTGTTCAGAGCAGAGAGACCTTGCAGGCTCCAGTTCCACATAAATATATATGCTCTGGTTGACAAGCGGAGCAACTGAGTGCCTTTTTAGTCATAATAAAAGGCAGTGATCTCTTCTGGACTTTGAACTCTTCAAACGGAGGGAAAAGTCACGCATGTGCAGTCCATTGGCTTTTATCTAGCCGAGACAAAGTGCCTCTGTTCCGTCTGAGTGTTAGCTGTCTCACCAGATGAAATTATATACATATTCATATGTCAGGGTGTTTGTGACTGTGCTCCCAGGAGAATTTCCAGCCATAAAAAAACTGGTGCCCTCTAGCAGTCTTTGCTTTGACAAGGATTTCATGTGGCAGGTGATGAATGAAGTTCACCTTTCTGTTTGCAAAGCTGATGCAAATGCATATGAGGCCAGCCAGGCGACAAGGAGTCACCGTTTCCCTTTAGGTGACTTGCACTGAGGAAGAGAGGGCAGCAGCTGGGAGGAGGGAGCAGGGTGAGTGTCACAGCAGGCTCAAGGTTGGTGCTTTCAGATCACAGCCAATAAAACAGCTGATAAAGCAGCTTCTGGTACAGTGCAGGTTAAAAGCTACCTCAAATGCATCCTTCAAGGTGCAGTGGAGAGTCCAACCATGCCTGGTGAACCTCAGAGCTGCTACACTAATGTTAAGCTGGTATTTGGAAACAATCCTATCAAAATAATTTTATATCTGAAGTGCCAAAATGAGCAATGGACCAAGTTCTGCTTGGTCCATTGCTGCTTTAAGCTCTAGTTACTGTATTAACAGGCTTGTACTGATACCACATGTAGTAAAGTTTGTACCAAAGTACACAAATGTCTCAACTCCTGTAATCTGCAATTGATGCTCAGGAAGATGAAGTAACTCCATGACTTCTAGCAACATTTGTCATTGCTGAAAGATCAGAGGGGGGAAAAAAAAGATCCCTGTAGGGCCTTGGAGATAGTTAACTTACGCCCTGAGGCATGAGGTCCAAGGCTGCAAAGCAAACAAATGGGTTTGTGCTGCTACACACGCTGAGGGGTAGGATGTCTGAGCCTGGAAACTCCTCATCCTTCTGAGATTTCACAACTCGCTGCCCTTTCGGATACTCCAAGTAACCGCAGACGAAGCAGCTTCATGTGCTGGTACAAAGCCAGGAAGATGTAGCCCC